TATATATATATATATATATATATATATATATATATATATAAAGTACTGCATAATATTTTTCTTCACGCGCACTCACACGTAGCACCGGTACTTGAGTAGTAAGTAGTACAGTACAGGTAGTACAGTAGTACTCACATGTGCCAATAGGGGGCGGGGCAACCCTTTGAGCGGAAAACTGAACTCAACGAAGAAGACACGTTGAAACGTGACAGGCTGCGTGCGCACCGTATCATTTGAGGTAAAATGGCGTCGGGGGCCATTTCAACGGATTCCAAGAAAATTTCCGACTTGCGTGTTGTTGATCTTAAATTTGAGCTTAAACGGAGGAATTTGGACACTACCGGTGTGAAGAGTGTTCTCATAGTTCGACTGAGACAGGTAACTGAGATGAGGCGGATTTGTTTGGCAGAAGTTGCCGAGACCGAAGCTGCGCATGCGACGCATTGATGCTAACTCGCTATTGCTAGTTAGCCACGGGTTTCCTTTTAACTTACTAGTTTTCATTAGTAAAACTGCACTACTACTAGTTTGGCTTTGTCGTTGTGGCACGTATGTTATTATTATGTTAATATTTTCACACATGCGCAAACTGTTTTTTTAAATAAAACGCTGAGGGTTCATCAACGATCACCGCAAATGATGCAGATTTGATTTGGACTAAATGTTCGACTCAGCTCGATTCAGAAGAAGAAGAAAAAAACCGCATGTCTGGCCATTAATTGCCTTCAAACCACATCTGAATGAGGTTCTTTGAATATTTGTCGTTAACGTTCTAAAAGTGCCATTTAGGTGCAGTTTTTCTAGAACAATGGGGTCAGGTGGTATGCGGATGACTTCTCTGTGAAAACGACTAAACGTGGTGCAGCAGAGGGTGTGCACATAATCAGTGGCTGGAAAGATTAGAAAAGTAATACCACTGACAATTTGGGGAAAAATCACACAATTTTTATTACATCTCTAACCAAGACGTGTGAAACTACAGCACGTCTAAAGTTGGTCAAAACAAATAAAATTCATTGCTAATATTGTTTGACCAGATTTATCCTCAAGTACAAAATTTAATATCTTACCGACTCAAGTTGTGTGGATCAAACCACTAATTTAAGTAGGTAGGTGAGTACATTTCGTTTAGTTTTTAACTTTGTGGCGTTATTACAGTCGTTATTAAGTAATTAAATGTATGTGATTTATATTCATATCAAAAGGACACCCTTAAATTATGCAGCTGTATTTTAAATCATGTGATTCTAAAGTAATATGTTGCGTGCTGTGCAACCCTATTGAATAGAAAATGTTACTATTTTGAATATGAGGCAAAAAAAAAAAAAAAAGAATATATGAACTGGTTATCAAATTTACATGCCTGTTCAAGTATGTGTGGAAACATTACCCCATGATCATTTCTGCCAAATCCAAACTGTCATTTCTGTTGTGGTGTGATATTTTTATCAATTAGTCAAAGTCTAACTAACTAATGCAATCTGCTGGCAGTGCCCTGAAATAACTTCTGTTATGGTTAAATAAACTGAATTGAAATAGTCGTTATTAAACTTAAATAAGCCTAAATTTCTGCACAAGCTCTGAAAGCAAACCCTCTTGACGCACGGTTGCTTTTGTTGAATTACGGTAAGCATTTTTTTGCACAAAAGGCATTTACGATGATAGTCAGGTCTAAACGAGTGACATGTTGTGATGCTTTATAAATGAGTTTATTTTTTAAACAGTTTTACCATCGGTAGTTAATTTCAATTCATAAAAGTGCCAATTCGCAACAAAAGTCACTCCAGGGCACTACACAAAAACATTCGCACTTACAATGTCAAGTGGTAAAAGTGATTTTTCTAGGGAAGTTGAAATTGAATCGGCGGTGTTTAACTTGAATTACTAATAACGCATGCCATGTGCACATAGTGGTATGGCTTACAACCTCACAGCTTCTAAAAAGTAGATGAGTCATAAAGAATGGCCCTAACTAGTTTCTCCGTTTGTTATTGAATTTGCTTTTTAAGGCTATTGAGGATGAAGGTGGTGACCCAGAAAACTTTCAAATCCAACTCTCGAGTGATTCCTCGACAAGGAGAAGTGGAAAAGCTAAAGGTAAATCTTAATTTCAGCAGTCATGGTTGCTTATCAGGGCCATATATTCTACTTTAATTTATGTTTTTCTTTATTTTATTAGGGAAGAAAGCAGATTCTGATTTGGACACCACCGCAGAAGACTCTATGCTTTCAAAGGTGACTAGGAAGCCTGGTTTTTGTGGAAATGCTGCAGTTTTTATTATTTATTTGTAGTTGTTTTTTCTAAAGTTTCTGAATACTTGATAAATAATAACATTAATTTTTTTTTTTTTTTTTGTACAAAATTCCTTTGATAAAGATTTTCATTATATAGGTAATTTTTTACCTTTTATTTTACCAGGACAAAACCCACTGAGTTCAAAAACTTCTTTTTTAAGAGAGTCCTGAGCATGAGGGAAGAGGCACCTTTAGCTTTTTAGCTAGAGCACCTGTATTGTGCGCTGCTAGCTTAGCACGACACGTTGGGTTGTGCGCTGTTTTTGAGTGTGTGTGGGGGTTCAGCTTCAGAAAAGAGGCAACGTGAGCACTGACTTTAGCTTTTTAGCTAGAGAGCTTGTATTTCGTGCCGCTAGCTTAGTGCTATGTCAGTGCCGGGGGGGGAGTTCGGTTTGATAGGCAGGGTGCTCAGTTCTATTGACGGGGTGGGGCACCCCGCCTATATAATGATAGGGGAAACACTGGACTTCACAGTTTGTTTGTTTTTAACCATATTGCACTAATATTTGCTCTCTTTTCAAAACTTAACCTAATATGAAATAATACAGACTTCAGAGTCTTAACCATATTGATTCATATTTGTTAAATCTTTAACAAAATTTCAAAACCTGTGCAAGTCTGCACAAAAACTCTTCTGAACTGTAATTTATAAACCTTCTAAATTGTATCATTTTACGACTGGCTCCAGTCGATGTGTCTCATCTGGCCTCTCTTCAACCTGTTAAAATACAAATTACATTAAGTTTGTTGTGTAACTTGTCTATAAGTGTTAGTATGATATGAGAAAAAAACTTACCTTTGAGCTGCAGCTGGTGCATTAATCAGATGTTCTCCCACTTCATTTTTGTTTCATGGTGGAGTTGTGGTGCAGCTTTATCGCTAAAAAGCTATGTGAAGGAACAACGTACACTGGGTCCGGCATATTAAAAATAAACTTGAATCCTTCGACTGGGCTGTCTGCTCGTAAACCCTTTGTGATCTAGCAGATGATGGAGTGATACATTATCGAGGCCCTGGTTGGGGAATTAGCTGGAAGTGCCTCTGTGTGTCAACCAAAGAGGTGTAAATAATTTTTTTTTGTCTCCAAATCCTGTCATTTTTCACCACTTTTTATTGTCTGTCCAAACAGATCTCACTTGTAAATGAGTCTTCGAGGCTCAATGTGACTTATCTGTTTAAATAAAGGTTGAATGAATGAATGAATGAAAAAAGTTTGTTGCAGCTGTTCTGCTGCCTTCACTTTTAATCTTCCTTCTGTGCTTTTGTTGTATTTTCAAACTATTGTACCACATTTTTATTTTATGCTTCTTGCAAACAACCGTGCTCTTGTCAAGCTTTGTCTTCCCCAGAACGTTGTAGAACCCATAGTGACTTTACAACGACGTTTGACAACAAAGGAGCAGGTTGAATTATGCTGTCCTCCGCTCCATACTAGCAGACTCCATTCATATAAAGGGAGCTGGATAACTAGCTTGCAGTACGGTGGCCTACAAGGCCAAATTCTTTGGGAACGGGTGGACACCTAATTTGATATGCAGTACACTCGGGAGTAGGAGCAGAAAAATAAAATTTAAACACATTTTAAAATCAATTTTGGGGCTTTTAGAATTGATTTAGAATCACCAGGACTAGGAATCTAGATTCTTTAATGAATCAAAAAAAAATTCTGCACCCCTATTTGAAAGTGAGGGAATCATCAATCAAAATACTCAAATATTTATGTGTGTGAACCAACTCTTTCATTTCTACTGCAAGAGAACACAGAGGGGATCTTTTGTGGTCCTCTGGATCTGGAAATGTACATCAATTTAGTTTTATCTATATTAAGGACAAGTTTTAAATTTAATAAAGAGCATTGGGTAGCAGCAAAGGCTTTTTGTAATATATCAATTGCCTGAGTAGGAGTGGATCCAGTGCAATAAATAACTGTCATCTGCATCAAAATGCAAATTAGCATCACACACAATCCGTCCCAATTCATTTATATGAATTATGAATAGAAGAGGACCTAATATAGAACCCTGCGGTACCCCCCTATGAACAGTTACAACTTCAGAACACAAATGATCATATTTAATATATTGTGTCCTATTTCTGAGATAATTTGTGAACCAAGCAACAGCTTGTTCTGAAAAACCAGAGTTCGAGCCGTTTCTACAAATTGCTGTAAAATAGTTTGTCAACGGGCATCCATTTTGCTGTATTCAGTAATCTTATGTTTATTCATATAACCAATACATTTATATATTTTTCTCATTTCACTGTTTTGTTTTTCTAGGAAACTGAAGAGACTGAATCAGAAAAGGGTATGTATGGTAGCACACTAATTTTACTCGGTAATAATATTTTTTCCGCCCCTTACAGCATTCATATATGATCCTGCAACATTTACAAAGGAGGGATGGACAAACCATTTTGAAGAACCACCAAGTGTATTTTTTATTTTTTACGTGGTCTTGCACACCGCAATCACTGGATGTTGGTTGCCTCCATATTTCATCTGCTTTTTGGACCACTCAAGTTCTTTAAGACAAGTTGCCTTCATTATATTTCCATTACCTCTGGCATCAACATTTGTTCTTCAAGGAAATGAAGACTGAAGATTTACAGAGATGCATTTCATGTCCCCTCATTTGGAAGAAGCAAGGACAAGAACTTCAAACTTGTTGAGAAATTTCCAACACTGACTTGACAACGTGGTTGCATAAAATGAGCTCAAATGTTCTGGACAGATTTGAGTTGAATAATTTAAGCTTCTTTTTGGTGTTTCAAGGTGAAATAGCCATCAAAGGATGTTGGGATTTGGTTTAACTCCTGGACTTCTACGCTCATCTCAACACTCTATGATTCCAAGACAATGTGTCCAAAGGCACCACCAGTTGGACAGTTTTACTCTGCTGACTCAGTGAATGTGTACAGGAATAAACACTCACGTTGGCTGGAGACTGGCAGGAACGGACTCAAAAGATCATTTTGTTTACAATGTTGACGCATTTCAGCAAGTTGGATTTGGTGATGGATTTTGTTTTTTTAATTTTTTAAGTTTTCTGAGTCATGAAAATTTATTTCTGAAGAAATATTGGAAGATGTTTTTAAATCTCAGATGACTTTCCAAGGACCCACTCCATCTAATTTGCTTAACTGGGGGTGAAAAACTGAAGAACTGATTTTCCTTCTGAATTTGGACGATATCAACCTACGTGCATCCGGTAAACTGCCACACATTTTAAGAAGCCTCTGGAAGAACGCAGCCACTGTGAAAGATGGCTCAACATGTTGTGAATTGAAGAGTGCTGAATCGTCTCGTTTTCAGTGAAGATTGTGTGTTTTGTGTCTTCCTGTGGTATCCGCCCTCGATGACCATAAATGTGCTTTATATTCTACTTTTTAAGTCAAGTAACATGCAACTTGTCAATGTTAAAGTTGTGTTTGTGCCATGTTTATCCTTATCAATCCCTCAGATGTAACTGATACAGATGATGGTAGTCGTGAACATTCAAAGCCTCCACCCTGTGAGGACAGCCTTGCTCACTCTGAGGCTGAGCAAGAGTCAGATCCAGAACCTGACCCAGAGCCTGATCAAGAAGTAGATGAGGAGACGGAGCCGGAGGTGGACGAAGACGCAGAGCCCGAGGCTGAGACCGAAGTAGCTGATATAGATGCAGAAACCCGGAGTTCCTCCATAGAAGCAGAGGATGATCGTCTGTCCGTCTCAATCCAAAATGAAGATGCCATCACCCTAGAAGTTGATGGTGACGACCTCCTGGAAACAGGTAAACACGTGAAACTTCCAGATTCAGAGGCAGACAAGGGCATTGATGAGATGGAGACTGGTACTGAGACGACCCCAGATGATGACATGAAAGAAAAGATGGAGGGCTACAAAGATGGGGAGAAAGACAATGCGTCCATGAAGAACGACAACGAAGATGACAAGATGGAAGCTGATTCCGAAGACGGAGAAAAGGATTCTGGGAAGAAAGACCTATCTGCTACTGGGGCCTCAGGTCAAGCAAAGAGGTTTGTCTTTCTATGTCAGTTCTTTGATACTCCTACCAAGTCCAGCTCTCTAAGAACGCAACTTTGTGGGTAGCTTCAAGATAATTTTTTTTTTTTTTGCCATAAGGAAAATATTCACAGATGTACCTAATCCAGCAATTTACTACTTTGTTTTATTTTTCCCAAGTTGGTTAAATTGTGACATAAACCTGGAGCTGAGAAAACATCTCTTATTTTGTTACTTTGATCGTTCCAGCAATTTTAAAGCCTTTTTGCAGTTTCTACACGTGGCAGTGTAAAACAGCATTAGACCCCGTGATGTTTTTTAATTTTTTTCTCCTTATGGTCAAATGATTTCCTCAAGTTGAACAAACCTCTGAAGATTTTATTGATCCAGGGAATAAATTGGCTCACAGCTTGACCCATCTCACCACTGGGACAAAAAACAAACTATGACGCCTTTTGAGAGAATGGTTCAGATCTACACCTCTCCTAAAGGATTTTTTTTTTCCTCCCTGAAAATGTGTTGTTCTACCAGATGTTTGTTTTTGTCACTGCTTTTGTTTTAAGTTTGCCTTCGCTCATTTCCTGTTACAACATTTGCATTGTAGCTCCGCAAAAGACAAAGATGGAAAAGCCATAAAAGATGAAAAGGGTAAGCTATTTCAATACTTGAACTCTGAAATCTTTAGGCGTGTTTTGTTCACTTTGATCCTAATATTTTAAACGTCAAAAACGGCTGAATTTATTTCAACTGATTTATCAGCAGCTGCCGGCAACGGTGCCTTTCGTAACTTATGGGTGAGCGGCTTGTCTTCAAACACCAAAGCAGCTGATCTAAAAAATTTGTTTGGCAAATTTGGAAAGGTAAATTGTCTTTTTCTTAAGTTTATAACATATTTTATATAAACTCAAAAAAGTTCAAGACAAAAACAACTGGACTTTATTTGTAACAGAAAACATTTTGCTTCTTCCCTACAGTGAGGTGTGATAGGTCAATCTGCATATGTATGTGTATCTTATCTCGACTGTATAACCTGAACCCCACACTCCTTGTTTCTTTGAATTGAGAAGCAAATAAACTCCAGTTGTTTTTGTCTTGAACTTATTTGAATTTACCATGTTCTGGATGACTGAGGATCTTCACCAGCGTATCTTATATAAACAAAATATAATTTGAACGCTCTGCTTTGTGCCTTAAAAACTTTCCCACAGGTTTTAAGCGCCAAGGTGGTCACAAAGGCTCACTGTCCTGGTTCAAAATGCTACGGCCTGGTAACGGTGTCTTCTAGCGCTGAAGTAACTCGGTGCATCACCCACCTTGACTGCACAGAACTTCATGGACAGCAGATATATGTTGAAAGGGTAAGAACGGCTATTTCTAAGCAACTTTATTTATGCAGAGTAATTGACAAATTTGATGGCTTGTGTTACTGAAATTTCCTTGTGCTGATTAATTTTTTTCTTATTACTTGTAAAGTCTAAGAATGATCCGTTCAAAAAGGAGCCGTCAAAGAAGGAAGTGGAGGACAGAGCAAGTTCCATCAAATCAAATACTAAGCACAGCTCCACTGGGACAAAACAAACAGTCAAGTGCGTGACATAATGTAAAGATTGTTGCTCTATTTGTTTGAAGCCCATTTAACCACTTTTTTTTTAAATTTAATTAGAGCGCAGCCATCTCACAAAAAAGAAGAAAAAAAGTCAGATAAACAGTTGGAAAAAGAGAAGGATTCCTCCAAAAACCAAGAAGCCAAAAATAAAAAATCTGACACCGTCCCCTCAAGCACAGGCCCAGATTTATCAAAGAAAGATGAAAAGAAGATTACAAGTAAGTCTCCTCTCTGGAGTCCGTACCTGGAACATGCGTCTTGTTAAATGGCTGATTTTAGTTTTTTTGTTTTTCTTCAGAGATTAAGAGCCCAGAGAAAATGGTGGAAGTTAAGTCTAAAGGAGGCTTCGTGTTTCGTCAAAACAGACCCTTTAGGGGAAGATTTCTTGATAGAGTAAGATTTTGTTTCTTTTAATATGGTTTTATATGGAAATTATTTTTTTAAACATCTTGAGAGGATGATAAATGGGAATTTATTTTATTTTTCAGCCCTTTGTCAATGCCAGTTTTCAAAGGCATCCAAGATGGTTGATTCCTCCTCAACAGGTAAGAGACTTTTTGTTGGTAAGGACATATTACCCTGAACAAAACTAAATATTTTAATTTTGAATTCTATTTCTCCCCTTTTAGTTGGCAATGATGAGAGAAAAACGGCCACCATTTTTTAACAAATGGGGTAACATGGACATTTTGCCTTTTAATAAACTGAAGGAGGAGAGGATGCGTGAACGCATGGAGCACATTCGCAGAGCGGAGGATCTTCGCAGGTAGTCGGGGGAGCAAAGCAGTTTGCGTATTTACCGGACCTAATATAACTTATGCAAACTCGGATGTCAATGTTTAATTCAATTATTATTATACTTATTGGTATCTTTTCTCTCTAGGCGACGTGAAATTGCAGAACAAGAACGTCGAGAGCGCGAGCGAGTCCGCCTGATGCAAGAACACGAAGAACGGGAACACTTGCTTCAGGAACGCCACAGACTGGAGATGGAGAGACAGAAACTTGAAAGAGAGCGCTTGGAGCGAGAGAGGCTTGAGAGGGAAAGGTTCCGCATCGAGCAGGTAAAATCAGCGTTGACCCAGACGCAGGACTCCACACAGCATTTAGGAGGGTACTTTATATA